ATCTACCTTAACCTATTCACCAATGGAGGCGCACTACGTCGCCTAGTAGTAACGATTGTGAATGAGACCTTGGTACAAGCAATTTGAACACTACCACATTTTTACACACTTTTACGCTAGAAACAACCCAAACTAACCTTCCTGCTGTTGTCTGCGCACCAACTGAATTCATTCATTCCTTCATCTAAAGTGGGCCTTATTTGCTTTACTAGGACTTCACTGGTTGCAGTGTTGGTGTGGATGATTAGCAAATGGACCGCGGTTGCAACACACCTTGAGCCAACTTAACCGATGACCTCCCGATGTAACAACCTTGCACGCATATCTGTCCTACCATTCCTTCTCCGCATCATTTTGGTGTTGGAAGGCACCAACAATCCAAATTTCTCCATCTTGAAAACAATAACACCTGCTTTTGTGCTGCAAAATGAGGCCTGAGCTTTGACAACACGACTTACCTTGCTGCTGGATTGCTTCACGTGTCACATATTCGTGACACTGGACTCTGACTGGACTGAGTGGATCCGAGTGCTAGAGGTGGGACATTGGTGGCAAATGCATCCAACCGAAATTTCGTCATCATCGCCAATGTAAGAATTTATGAAACAGCATTTTGAAAGGAGGAGCAACGCTGATTAACGAAGCATTTGCCCTCCCGTTAGAGGAGAAATGAAGTAAATGAAAAGATGGCAGAACAAAATGAACGACGAAATTTGCTTCCCAGTAATTGTCATGTAATCACGACTTGTGAATTCATTTTCCTCATCACAACGCTTGCAGCACTCATTTCAATCCGAAGCATATCTACCACCATGATTACGAAAATTGTCATTGCCCTCGATCCCGCCTCCAAAACGGATGTGAGTCACCGCCAGCGTGATTGCAGTTTTGGAGGGGCTGGAGGGAAATGCATATGGCTCTGCCACTCTGTGATTTGCCATGAGGAATGAGGGAGGAGGTCAACAAAGCACCTTTCTTTCACACGCAAACACACACAGGCAGACTGTCAGGGGAGGGGACAGCTGAAATACACTCGTGATGAAGTGCACGCAACGCAGACAACGATGGTGATGATGGCGAC